TTCAGCGTAAGAAATTTCTCGAGTAAGTCACTGCGTTTGATCTTCCCCTTCTTCTTCTTGAACAGTTGCAAAAGCGAACTGTTATTATTGGGGACCTCGTACGCATTTTCATCATCCGCTGCAATCTTAAATCCAGTTACAAGAGAAAACTCTTGTAACCCGAATCTAGCTTCTTTTTCCCCAAATCTGAACCACACGGCATCTTTGTCATCTTCGGACGCTTTCAATGTCCTACGAAGTACTTGGTGGACTATTTGGGAGGACAATATGATCTCGGTAATATTTATTAGTGGCCGGAAGCAAGACTCTGCAAATCGATCTTGATGTGCATCGTTTAAATTGTCAAATACTTTTCTGACAACGTTGAGGTTGCACCGATTGGTCACGTTTGCTTTGCATTTGGAAGGTATTTCAAACGCATATTCCTTTTTGGTTCCTAAAAACAGGAAAGAAAGACAACATAAGTCATAATAGATCAAACAAGCAATAACTACTTAAAATAGTGGCATAATCCTTTAATATAACCCAACTGGGTATTTTAGACTTGGAGTTCAAAACTGCATAAACCTATTCGTTATATGTATTGCGACACTACAACGACAGTGCATTCATTATATTGTAATATATAACTAAGGTGTAATCGTTTCTCTCCTCTCCCTACTACTTATGACTTCGCTTCGTTTTCCTATTCTAGCTGTCTTTCTGTAGTTCATTCGTTCAACTATCGCAAAGTGAAGTCAAGGTGTAATTGACCTCTCCCGTGTACACTAACTCCCGATCAATAGATATTTTTTTATGCGTTATGCCAGGCTCAATGCAATTGACCTATCCATTTTGGCTAACAAAGTATTCCATCGACCGGGGATGAAAATAAAACAATATCGGAAGTACATTCGTTATAATCCATTACATAACGAAGGTACTTTTGTTGTTCATGTTAAACGGTACAAATCATACAAATACTCAAACTAAATATATTGATTGGTTCAAAGTATACAACAATTAGCATACCCAATTACTATCAACTCAATCTTTCAAGCATTTCATCAAACACCTATTACCATCTTCACTTTCATCAAAACTATCAAAATAATATGAATTCACATACCACAATCAAAACCACAATCAAAACCTTGCTCCACGAATATCAAAGTCCCAAACAAAAGGAAATTAAGTAAAGAAGAAATTGACAAAAACCAAAAAAAACGAACCTGTATCGATTTTGACGGGAAGAGCGAGCTCCATAGAGATTGGGCGCCAGAGACAACGAGAGAGGAGGTCGTGGGAGAATAAGGAAGAAGAAAAAATGAAAATGGAAGAATGAAAGGTTGGGGAGAGACGAAAGAAGAGAGGGTGAGAGAGAGGGGAGCCGGCGAGAGAGATACAAAAGAGTGAAGGAGAAAGAGCAATTTGGGAGAAAATGTCGAGAAGAAGAAGGTTGGAGAGAGACAAAAATAAAAAAGGGTACATAAGTATTTTCCCATTTTATGGAGTTTTTACTTAATTTTTTTATACTTGTGTAGGTCAAGGGTCATTTGAACAATTTTATGTTTTGAGGAGGTTATTCCAACGAATTCCCACGAAAACTTACGGCAATTTAGCACGGTTTCAAGATTCTTCTCGAAACCGCGCAAGGACCAAGGTGGAAAATCAAGAGAAAATCGAAAAATTCTCATCACGAACTCATTCCCGATTACATTTTCTGAAGCAAAATCGGAAATGGTCGAGTTTTCGAAAGTGAATATCAAGGACTTCGAAGACGACGACGAAGAAGAAGAGGCCGGCGAGGAAGTTGAATCCGCGCCGCCGCTGGAAGTCGGACAAGAGAGAGAAATTAGCTCAAATGGTCTCAAGAAAATGCTCATCAAGCGCGGCCTTAACTGGGAGACCCCTCAGTTCGGCGATGAAGTTACCAGTATGCAGTGCTTCGTACTCCTTCATATTAACATTATTTTCTGTTGAGTTCATGTGCTTATTGCTTAAAATGGGATAGATACATACATTCATTTTGCTGTTCGATTCTGCTATAATGTACAACTGTTTATTTCGTCATGAGTATTAGTTGTGATAATAATTATGATTATGGAGCTTGGGGATATTTGCTCTGGGAATCTTTACAAGGTATTAATTTGGTAGTCATTTAAAATGACGAGCTTCATTCAGGACAAACATTGCCATAATTTTTTCCTAGCAGTCATTGTATTTGTGTGTGTGTGTGTGTGCTTCCAACTTTATGATTATTCTTTTTGGTGTTGTATGTTGAAGTGTAGTTCACTATGTGGCGAGTTTGCTAGACGGCAGCAAGTTCCTGTCAACGAGGGCTAGCAACAAGCCAATCACTCTCAAGGTTGGACATGGTAAGCTCGAAATTGCTTGATAGCATATACATTCTTTCTTTTAACTCCCTTTTGAGTTTGATTGGGTTGGGAAAACGTATACCTGATATTCAATGTGAATGCCATTCATAGATGAGTTGTTATTGTTTGTGTATATGAATGAGATAGATAATATCTACTTCCTTATTTGCCTATATATCTAAACAACATCTTGTTCATTTCTCTGTCTTTTTCTTTTCTATGGAGAACTCAGTTCTTTTGGCGGGTTTTCAGGAGATATAGTACACGGATTGGATCGTGGAATTGTTACAATGACAAAAGGAGAAATTTCAATGTTCACATTGCCTCCAGAAATAGCATATGGAGCAGTAGGGATGAAAGGCGTGCCCCCAAATTCCATTGTTCAGTTTGAAGTTGAGCTCTTATCATGGACTACAGTGGTCGATATCTTCAGGGATGGTGGGATCATTAAACGGGTTCTTGAGAATGGAGAACAGATTGGGCCTCCCGGTGACCTAGACGAAGTTCGAGGTATGTTTATTTGGTAAAAGTTTCAAATTAAACAAAAATTTATAATGTTTTCTTTTTGTGATTCTGTGGCTTACTGTGTTTCAGTTAAATACAAGGCAATGCTATCTGATGACACAGTTGTTGCAAAAACACCAGAAGAGGGCGTGGAGTTTTATGTTAAGGACGGTAATATAGGCCCCATGAAGTGTACTTATGCCCCTGCCCCAGTGGCAGTTAAATTCCCGAAATCTAGTTTTTGATTGAACTAATTTCACTCTTTCAGGCAACTTTTGTCCGGCATTGGCCAAAGCAGTTAAGACCATGAAGAGCGGGGAGAGAGTCAATTTAATTGTGCAGCCACAGTGTATGT